ATCATGTTGAACTGGATTGTGGGCAATGTTAATAGCAGCCTTGTTGTCACAATACAACTTTATTAACTCCCGAACAGGATAACCCAACTCACCCAACATCGTACGTAGCCACAACAACTTACAAACTCTATTTGCCATGGATCTGAACTCAGCCTCTACACTAGATCTAGCTACTACACATTGTTTCTTGCTTTGCTATGAAACAAGAATACCTCCAACAAATTTGCAATATCCTGAAGTAGATCGCCGATTTGTCACAGACCATGCCCAATCAACATCAGTATAGGCTTCAACACGCAAGTGGCCATGACTACCAAACAATATCCCCTTACTAGGTGAACCCTTGAGATAACGAAGAACATGATAAGCTGCCTCAAGGTGAGGTGTACGTGGAGCATACATAAATTGACTAATCACCCTAACAGCATAAGCAATATCCGGTCGCGTGAGAGATAAGTAAATCAGTCTCCCAACTAATCGATGAAATCTTCCCACATCATATAATGGGTCTCCATCTACATCATTAAGCCTATGGTTCTGTGCAATGGGAATATCAGGTCTAGCTCCAAGCCTACCTGTTTCAGCCAACAAATCTAAAACATACTTCCATTGAGAAATGAACACCCCTTTCTTCGATCTGCACACCTCGATGCCAAGAAAGTATCTCAGTGATCCGAAGTCTTTAACCTCAAACTATGTCCCCAAGAATGACTTCATTTGACGAATCTCTTCTGGATCATTTCCAGTGATAACAATATCATCAATGTATACAACAAGGCCTGTGGTGCAGCTCTGGTTCTTGATGAAGAGAGTATAATCTGCCTGACTCTATGTGTACCCTACTCTTTCACAGCAGTGTTGAAACTCTCAAACCAAGCACCTGGCGATTGTTTTAACCCATACAAGGCTTTATTTAGCTTGCACACTAAATTCTGACCATTGGCAAGCTTAAACCTGGTGGCATAGTCATATACACCTCTTCCTCCAAGTCACCGTGAAGGAAAGTATTCTTTACATCTAGTTGATGTAAGGGCCAATTCAAATTAGCTGCCAAAGAAAGAAGAACACATACAGAGTTCATCTTGGCAACTGGAGCAAATGTTTCCAAATAATCAATTCTGTAGGTATGAGTGAAACCCTTTGCAACTAACCGAGCTCTATATCTCTCAATTGTTCCGTCTGCATGATACTTTATTGTGTAAACCCATTTGCAGCCTATTAGTTTCTTACCCATAGGTAATGGAACAATATCCCAAGTACCATTCTTCTCAAGGGCCTTCATTGCTTCAAGCATAGCTTTCTTCCACTGAGAGCATCTGAAACATTGGAAGGAACAGATACAGAGGAGATACACGAAGTGAAAGCACGATATGTTGGAGATAAGGCATCATAGGATACAAACTAAGATATGGGATGTTTTGTACAACTACGAACACCCTTACGATAAGCAATAGGGACATTAAGATCAACAGGAATACTATTGGGCAAAAGAATCGGGAGTATCAATGTTAACTAACGAATTACCTGGATCAAGGGAGACTTCTTGGTCCTGGGGTGAGTCAATGACTTGTTTTGCCCTCCAACTGTAGACAATTGGTTGCTTTTGTGCTGCAAATCATTAGTGTTAGGAGGACTAGACATAGGCACCACAGTAAGAAGTTCCCCCTGAATGGGAACAGGCAAAGGAAGGGGGCATTCCTTCTGAATGGACAACGGATTATCTACCTGTATAGTAGTCTTCCCTATAGAGAATCCCGAGGAGTAGAAAAAAAAAGGACCAGACTCAAAGAATGTAACATCCATGGAGACAAAGCGACGATGAGTGGTAGGGTATAACACCGATACCCTTTCTGAGTGGCGGAGTATCCAAGGAAGACACATCGGATTGCCTTAGGGTCCATTTTGTCCTTACAATGATGAATGTGAACATAATAAACACAACCAAACACTTTCGGAGGGACATTGAACAAGGCAGTGTCATGGTGTAAGACAGAGAAGGGGGATTGATAGCCAAGAACCTTAGAAGGCATGCGATTGATAAGGTATGTAATTGTTAAGGTTGCATCAGCCTAATAACTTTTAAGCACTCCCATTCCAATTAGAAGAGAACGGGTCACCTCCGTAATATGACGGTGTTTTCTTTCAGCTACACCATTCTGTAGTGGTGTATCGACACAAGATGTTTGATAGACAATCCCGTTATCAGCAAAAAATGAGGCAAGACCACCATACATAAACTCTCCTCCATTATCAGATCGAAGGATTTTGAGGGGACAACCAAACTGAGTACATACCATCCTATAAAAGGTTTTAAAAATGGAATGAACTTCATCTTTGGTTTTCATAAGATAAAGCCAAGCATATCGACTAAAGTCATCAACAAACACAACAAAGTAATGAAAACCAAGTAACGAAGTAGTAGATTCAGGACCCCACACATTAAAATGAACAAACTGCAAAGGAGCTGTATTTTTATTAATACTAGTAGGATAAGAAACACAACATTGTTTGGCAAGAACGCATGTTTCACAATTTAACTCAAAAGATTCAACAGAAACAAACTGGGGAAGCACATGCTTCAAAACAGGAAGATATATATGACCTAAACGATTATGCCATCGCATTAACAGATCTTTATTGACATTATTATTCCTAACACTAGATTGATTTGCAACATAATAAGAAGTTGGCCTCGCATTCAGAAAATATAAGCCAGTGTCCTCACGTCCACTTCCAATCGTCTTCCCCGTGTCCAAGGCCTGAAACACATAGTGAGATGGAAAAAAAGTTACAGTACAATTCAAGCCTTTTGTAATGTGACTGAAAAAAAAAAGGAGGTTATTGGTAAACTTTGGGACATGAAGAAAAGAGGATAAGGTAAAATTACGAGAGGCAGAAATAGTGCCCTTCCCCGCAATGGAGGTGAAGGTGTCATCAACCATTCTAACCTTATCTTTACCAGAACGTAAATTGTATAAAGAAAAATCAGATGTCATACCAGTCATGTGATCAGTGGCTCCTGAATCAATGATCCAGGGTGGCCCACCAGATAATGTGGAAACCTAATGTGCCAAATGAGAGGTACCTGTCTGAGCGGAGTTAGAGGTGGAAATGGAGGAATGCTGTGCTAGTAGATGTCGGAGAGCATCAAGTTCAGCCCCGGACAAAGAACTCAGTGGCCCTGAGGAGACATCACCAGTAGAAACAGTCGCACGCTCTGCAGTATGTGCCGTAGATAACCCCTTAAATGGACCGGGCTTTGGCCTAGCATTCGCATGAGCAGGAGCTGGAGTAGGGCGACCATGTAGATTCTAGCATGTTTCCCTAGTATGGCGCGTACGCCCATAGTGATCACACCTCAACTTGCTCTTGTCATCCTGTTTCCCTCCTTTTGGAGGATTGGCTTGTTCCATTGTTGTGTGGTAAGAGCAGACCTCTCAGACAATGGTACTTTTGGCTCAAGCTTTAGTGTATACAGGTGTAGACATAGCCTTCATTCTACTCTCCTCAGCCTAGATATACGAAAACACATCTCTAATAGAAGTAGGGGCTGGATACCTGCCTAACAGTTGTACCCTGGCATGCTCGTATCTCGGATGCATACCACCGAAGAACTCATAGATTCAATTCCTTTCTACCATAGCATGAAATGCTTTAACATCAGCTACACACACAGGTATGTAGTCTTGGTAGTGATCTAACTCTTCCCATTTATCACGTAGAGTCTGGTAATATGTAGCAAGAGTTTGGTCTTCCTACTTGAATCTTGAAATCTGTTGTTGGACTTCATACAGTTTTGCAAAATTACCAACCAAAGAATACGTCTCTTCCATAGCCATCTATAGCTCTTTAGCTATTTTCACAAACAGAAACCCTTTGCTGATTTGTGGCTGCATGAACTGCAACAACCACGTCATAACTAGTGCATTATTTGCACTCCACTCTTTAAATTCAGGATCGCTCTTGGAGGGATACGTACAGTCCCTTCGATATGGTCGATCATCCTACAACCAGTGATATGCATACGAGCAGATTGAGCCCACTCCATATAGTTCATCTCATCCAGCCTAATAGTCGTAATACAAAGGCCTGGATGGTGATCACTACTACCTCCCAATACTGGAGTCAAATTAGGAGAAGACCCGACTTCTTTTGAAGTCACCTCTGAGCCAGACATTTTATCAAACAGTTTCTAGGTATACAATCCTCAGAAACAAAAATAGCAACAAAATACGTAGAGAACCACCTCTCTAACAGACTTATTCCTTCCTCTCTGCCCAGATAAGGCTCGGCCAGCCCACCCAAATCATCCCTAGACGTACTATACTGAATGGAAGAGGAGAAATCAGAGCAAAACTCATCATGCCCTACACAGTTCCGATCAATACCCCCATCAACAAGCAAACTGACCGTCCCATCCTTTTCTGACAAGCCAAAAGCCCCATTATGTATTCTCTTGGGAGCACACCATTTTGAACGTTTTTAATAAAATCTTACTTATCAAAAAATAAATTGCTCATTTTATTCATATAATCATAAATGAAATCACTAATTTGGAGCTTAGAGCTACATGTTTGTTGTTTTTATTTTTTTTTTTTTTATATTATTTTTCTAATTACCTCATAATATATATTAAATTGCATTGAATCTCATTTGTCTAAGAAAATAATTACAAGATCACCCCCTCCGTGTCCTGAAAGTGTGTTCTCTTGTCTCACCCAGTCGTGTCCAATAAGGAAATAAAATATTCAAATTCCTGGACACTTCTAGCCGCGTCCGACAGGTGTCCAGGAAGTGTCCCACATGTATCGAAGTTTCTAATAGCACCACAACACCCCTAGGCGAAGTGTCCGTGCTTCCTAGGTCATCAATGACCAATGCTAGTAATGGAAGCTGGTAGAAGTTAATATACAAACATTTGCAACCCAACAGATAGATGAACACATAATTTGTCAATTTTTAATAACTAGACATGACAGATAAGCAATAACTTAACTTGCCTGTGTTAAAGTCGTAGCATCGGCAATGACAAAGGGAACGTTCACAAAACGAGCTAATGTTTTTGCTAGTAATGTCTTCCCTGAAATTAAGTGAGAAAGGCAGTCACATTTTTGGGAGCTTAACTTAAGCTAACAACTCAATTTAAGTAAAAAAATTCTCTCTTTTAGCCCTTCTGAGAAACCACTAATTTTCAAAACATATAAAAAAATAAAATAGAACCAATGAAATAGAAATCATACCTGATCCAGTTGGGCCCATCAACAGTACATTGCTCTTTTCCAACTCCACATTATCATCATCATCTTGTGCCCCAGATATACCTGATTCTGCTCCTGACCTAGTATTCAAACACAAAAGTTAGATTATCTGCAAATAGACTGCAAACACATTCATGAATTGTTAAAACAAAAATAATTCAATTTGAGAACCAAAACTGAGTATTAAGATGAATCCCAGTTACAGAGCCATATGTGATTAAATAGAGGAAGCTACAGAAACTAACCCTTTCTTCAAGGAAGCATGATATATCCTTTTGTAGTGATTATAAACAGCCACTGAAAGTACCTGCAATACAACAAACAAAAAACAGTGATACATAATTATCCCCCACTTAGCATTCCTACGTATTTTAAATATTGTCACAAAGGACAAGGAGGACAATGGAGATGGAATGGAGTTTGTATGAGCTAAAACTTTGGGTTGGGGTGTTGTTAGTATTATTATTATAATAAATGGGGATGAGTGAGAATGCTGGAATTGTATGGAAAAGAAGACATAAAATTGGAAGGGAACCTTTTTGGCACGTTCCTGACCAATGACGAACTTGTCAAGCCCCTTGCAGATCTCCTTTGGCGTTGGCAAGTCCTTACCCAAGTTGGACCCACCCCACCCATTCTTCTTCTCTCCAGATGAACCACCATTGCCATTGCCATTGCCATTGCCACCATTGGGAACAGCTGCGCGAACCACGTTGACACCGGGTGCAAAAGGGGGACCCGGTGGGGTGTGTACGGCAAGGCCATTCCCAGAAGGAGGAGGAGGAGGAGGAGGCCAATTATCTGGAGGGTCGGCAAGGCCATAGGGGGGCGAAGAGGACCTGAGTGTTTCCCAAAACGAGAGCCTAAGCCTGTTGTTGTTGTTGGTGTAATCTTGATGATGATGAAGTTTCTTGTTGCTACTGTAGTCAGAATCCTTGTAGGGTTTGTTGAGCCTCCTCCCAATCTCCACGAAGCTGCCCTGAAGAGGGGCTATCTTGTTTGGACGGAAGTAGTAAGCGGTCCTACAATTGGGACAGAGATTGACGGCCTGGTAGTCGTTGTGGTGGCTGTTGTTGTTGCTGTGCTTGTGCTTACCATTGTTATTATTATCATCATCATCATCAACCAACATGTGATTGGAAGTGGTAGTCGATGGAGGAAGATGGCGATGACGATTGGAATTGGAGAAGAGGAGATCCATGTGCTTAGAACAACGAGGGCAGTTGGCTTCGGCCCTAATTCTGCGGGTGTTCTGGAACTCATCGGAACCACCACCACCACCACCCACCTGATCCCACTTGTACCTCCTCTCTTGCACTCCGATGAGCTGCTGCGAATCCATCCTCCTGCGACCAGGAGGATAGGAATTAGGTGGGCCCACGTGCACCCAATTGACCAAGGTGGTGGTCCCACTCTTCCATTTACACACCTCTGCCATTTCCCTAATCTTCTTCCATCTCCATATTCCTCCTCCGCTCATCCTCCTCGATTCCTATTCCTCCTCTACGATCGATAACATAAACACCACTTACTTTTCGAGATACGACACCAGTTGAGATCTGTGTCTGTGGCGATGAGTTTTATTATTAAAAATAATAATATATCATTTACGGAGTACTAGTAACTAATTATATATACACATATACACTGCCACTACGGTGGCACGGAAGGAAGGGGAGAGACATTGACGAACAAAAAGATAAAGTTGGGAGTATTTGTAGGGGGAGCAAGGTAACAAACAAATGCAATATAATTCACTACAATCGCTCTCGCTCCTCACCTCTGTTCTCCACGACACTTCTGTTTTCACAACACTTTTTGACCGTTTGACCGCTTCACTCCATTTACATTCTTTTACGTTTTCTTTTTTCTTTTTAATTAAAAAAGGGGATAATGCTTAGTTAGTTCCAAAAAAAAAAAAATAATAATACATTAGCTTAAAAATAAAAATAAATAAATAAAAGAACAAGGAGAAGAAGAAAGTCAGATCGACTTGTTTTAATTGGATAATTATCCTTTTTCTTTTCTTTCTTTCTTTCATCTATTTCCAAACCCATGCCCTCCTGTCATCACTAATGTTTTTCTTCTTCACCATTTTCTGTTTTATTTCTCTCATCACTAACGTTCTTCTTTTTCACCCCTTCTCTTTTATTTCTCTTTTTAATCGCCTTGTTTGTCTCTACCTGTGCTTCACTAGACACTATGTGCCATCATCCCTCACCTAGGTCATGTTGTTGCTTATTCAGTCATCACCTATTCTTCCCTTCCATCTATTACTTATTTCAAGGGCCTAAATTTACTACCTGGAAAAAGGGATCAGCAAAGTCGCTAAGCGAATGAACGAGCAACTATTGGGGCCCGGACCGATCAAAGATTGATCTCCAACCAAATCTTTCTGTTAGTCTTTTACAAATCATAGAGGTGTTATACTTTACGTGCCTGCCTATCTTTTAGAAAAAGTTCCATAGTTGATGACCCCATAATTACATTAGGAAGCCTGTTCGCATCGATTTCAGTATCCAATCTCTCCCAGCCACTCTCCACTCGCTAGATCCCATTGATTGATGATGTCCCATGAAGGTGAGAAGAAGAAGGACAGTGGAGAAAGAGGAGGGCGTGGGTTTGGGAAGCAAAGAAAATGAGAAATAAAAGAGAGAGGGTGAAGCAAAAGAAGAAGAATAGTCGAGAGAGAAGGGCGTGGGTTTAGGAATCGATGAAAGAGATAGAAGAGAGAAAAGGTTTTTATCCAATTAAAATGGGTCGATCCGACTTTCTTCTCATTTTTTATTATTTTGCTGTTTTTGTTATTAAAACTAATGTGTTATTTTTTTTATTGGAACACATAAAGGGTGAGTAGGATGAAGTTACTCATCGATGAATAGCTAAGCATTATCCTTAAAAAAAAAAAATAAACATTCTAAGACTACGTTTAGTACAGTTAAAAAAAATTAATTAATTAATTAAATTAACATTAGTTAAGAGAAAAATGAAATGCGATACAGTATTATTAGGGATGGCAACGAGTTGGAGTATTAGCTAACCTGACTTTGCTCCAATTAGAAAATCCGTCGTATCAACTCCACCCCTACTTCAGAGATAGGTTTCTAATAGTATATCATCCCCACTCTAACAGACAAAGTATCGACTCTGCCCTACATACTCCGTTTAATTGCGATGGGGTGGTACATATATAATTGAAGCAACAGCAGGGGCAAGGCAGGTTCATCACTAAATATACCCCCGCCCCAAACCCGCTTCGAGTTTTCAATTGTTTTACTATATCCGCCCCCAAAAACATTTTGTAATGACCCGGTCTTTTTCCTCCTTTTCCATTTTCGGCGATTTTCTTTTTTCGTCTTTTTCCTATTTTATCTTTTCCTTATTTCGTCTTTTTCCCGTTTTTCGTTTTTCCTTTCATAACCTCATTTGTTGTGCTCGGATTTGATTCTAGTTTTGCATGCATTCATGGTAATTGATTTCCATGACATTAGTATTTTTACTTTTCTTGAAAAGCATGCTAGATTAGTACTTTTCTTGTAAATGGCATGAATGTGTAATTATTTATAACTTTTGGGGTTTTAGTGTAATTATGTAAAATAATTATTTTTCGTTTTAGGCACCTTTTTGCAATTTATTTTGGAAGATATTTTGAAAAATGACCATTTTGCAATTTTTGGAAAGTGTAATAAGTGTCACACTCTCATGGAGCCATTTGTTGGCATTTAGGTGAAGAGACTTAGCACCATGACTTCTTGACATGTGTTGGCCTTAGATTTGTGCACATGTAGCATTTGATTTGTGACAAGTGTGGGCTTGGGATTTAGTCTTGGAAGAGGCATTGGATTAGTGACAAGTGTAGGATTAAGGTTTAGTCTTGCATTGTGTGTGTGAGAGAGGTAGTGCAAGAGCACATAGTGAGTGGAGGATTTCTAGCCCTTCCACTCACCATTTTACACTTTACCTTCTTCATTTTATTATCTCTCTTGAACCCTAGCAAATCCACCATTGGAGGAAAGCTTAGTTCATAGCTTTTCCCTTCAATTTGGCTTACTTCCTTACATCTTAGAGTAAAAACCTTGGGAGAGAAAAGATTCCTGTTACTCTCCTCTTCAATAACCCTAAACTTGTTTTATATTTAGGGCTTGGTTGCTTGGATTATAGAGATTCAATTCTCTATTGAGGTAGGGGTGGTTGTATGTTTATCCTCTTTGGGTTTTATATATATTGGAGCTTGATATATATTGATTACATGCTTTAAAATTCTTGTATTTGCATATGAATAGAGATTTTGTATGCTTGACTTAGGATTTGTGGATTAAAGCATGTATATGACTATTAAATTGTATAGGTAGGTTATTGTTTAATGATTTGCCTAATACTTGTGATTTCATTGAGGATTTATGATGAATAACTTGAAATTACTCTTGTGTTGTTAAGTAATATAGATTTCATTGAAAGTCTTGTAAGTATTACTTGAAATTACTTGTAGGTAAATTGCTATATTGCATAATTAGTAATTGTGGCCTACATTAATATTAAATTCATGTGGCATAATGTGTAGTATAATTAGCTTGCCACTTTAGACATGAAACCTTAGGGCATGGTTTGTGTGGTTTTACCCTACTTGTGCTTGGTAGGTAGTTCATGCATTGAGATTGTATAAATGTCATGAACTTGTTGATTTTTGGAAGCTTGTAAGGATATGAAATGTTTGATGGCTAGAGTTTGGCTCTAGTACGGAGGATAGGAATTCTCCTAAGTCATAGTGTACACTAGGTAGTACCTTGTGAGTCATAATTACCCAAAATAACTTGTATGGTCTCATGGCCACATATCCTAGTCTTTCCATTACTTGATTTCGCATTACTTTCCAAGTTGTAAATCATGGGTTTTTTGTAGCTTGTGATTTGATAAATCTTAGTTTTAATGTGGTTGGTGTACTTGCTTATATATACTTAAATGTTACGTGTTTACCGTTCAACATTTGTATAGCTTGAGATGATCCCTTAAAGCACCATGGAAACATAAACGTTAGGTGGAATGCACCATTGATTACTCACCCTAGTGGTTTGTGTTGTTTTTCAGGTAAATAAACTATGTTCTTGGAGGCTCATCATCCTTAGAAGCTTTTGAGCTAAATGAAGCATTTTTGTATATTGACATGCAAGTGTTTGGCATGCCTTTCTTTTGATATCAAATTTTGAATACCATATATGTATGGTACTTTTGAAGATTATGTAACTTCCTTGATGTGTAAAGATGTTAAGTAATTACTTTTGACATTTTAAGCATGTATGTAATGAGGCCAAGGGCCAAGCATGTCCACTTTTGTACTTAGACACTTTTGGTAACAAAGTTTTGCTTCAAATGTCTGTTAATCAAAATTTGAGATTTGAGAAGTCAAAATCTTGTAAATGATGTGTATGAGGCCATGAGCCATGGTTTTATGTTTATTTATTCATATCAAAGTTGTTGACATATTCACATTCTCAAAACTCATGAAAAATCAGTTTTACATATTTATTGTGAACCAAAACATCATGGGATTCAAAGTTGAGGTTGAACCTTAACACCTTGGACTCATAGCAGCCTTTTTAGTAGCTTTTCGTGGTGTTTCGGTCGACCGAAACTCCATTTCGGTCGACTGATGGCAAATGGAATTGTCAATGCATAGTAAAATCATATTCTAGTAGCCAAATGCATTGTTCATGAGTCATTTCGGTTGACCGAACCTTTATTTCAGTCTACCGAAGCAACACGAACCTTTTCTTCATGATTTCAGGTCTCAGCACTTTCATTTCGGTCGTCCAAAAGTCCATTTCGGTCGACCGAAATAGCTTGATCCTGTGCCTAGTCTCTGTGGAGTTCCAACACTGATCATCCGACTTCAACGGGTCATAAATTCTTCGTTTCTAATCCAAATGGGGTGATTCTTGAGCCTAAACTCAAGGATTTTGAGTCAGATTTTCAATGGTACCAATCCCATTCTCAAATTCCAAACATGGTGGGAGTTATGTATATTTTAGTGAAGCAGTGTTAGTTTTCACTTCAACCGGGACGGGGCATTTTGTGGAATTCTTAGCCAATATTCATGGAACCTCTTGGAATGTTTCAAAATGATTAGAATAGGTTGTATTCACCTTATTTGACTTGTTTTGAGTCAAGTTTCTCTCTTTTATTGTGATTTGACCTTTTTACCCCTTGGATAACAAATTTTGTCCTTTTTGACCCTTGTTTCCGTTTTTGTCCTCTTTAAGTTCCGTGACCTCATGGAGGGTCACATTTGTGTCTTAGGAGTGACTCCTATCTCTAGAGACCTTGGTTTACCTTTAGCTTCCACATTTCGGATCCGTTATTGGATCACTTTCGGTTCATCATTGACGCACCGGGTTAAAAAACTTGGGCCGTCACACATTTAATGGCTACCATATCCACCCCCTTAAGGTTTAGGCGAAAACCCGCCAGATCGAAGGAAATTGACATCCTTACTTGTCATATTTTTTTTTATATAGTTCATACTCACACACACATGCCTCCATGGAGGCTTGAACTCTTTGGGAAGTAAGAGTCTGATACCGCTAGGCCACTAGCCCATTGGTACTTGTCGTTTTTGGTTAATTAATAATATAAAAGAAAGAAAATAATAGTAACCATCTTTGGGGTAAGAAAGAAAAGGAAACTATTGTAATGAATTTACAACCATACCCTTTTTCATAGAGTTTTTCTTTTG